GCTGTGTGGTGCTCAGTTGCCGACTGAGGTTAAACCACGACACTGCCTCACCTTTGCACTGGCTTTTGCACTCCCACTGCAGAGGGTCACAGCCTGCTGGGGAACCTGCCTCTGGCCACAATGTGCAAACTGGGGCAGTTGGAAATAAGAGGAGGAAAAAGGTGTTTATGGATTTTCCCCCAAATAAGAAAACCTTTCCCTCCACTTGGTGCTTGTCATAGTCAGTGCTACAGCTCAGAGCTTGCTTTGCCTCTTCTGAACTGTAGCACACGTTCATGTGTAGGAACCAGGGGAAATCAGGTATCAGCATCTCTCTGGCAGCCCCACTGGGGCCTGGATCTTGGATGTTCACCTCCTTTCCATTGACATCTGCTTCTGGGGCCTCATCTGCAGTGCAGGACAGCGGCGTGTCTACGGACATCCGAGACCCTTACAAAACGGAGCGGGGAATGGGGCATTACGCATTTACCATTGAACTAAGCTGCCTCCCCCTCCTCTGGGCCAAACCAGCTTAGCTTCAGGCCAGTGGTTGCAGGGAGACAGTGATCGGGGGGAAAGGAAAAGGGCTTTCAGATAGTCCCGTACACCTGTCACACGCGGCTTTTGCTTCCCTGTCGTCCCCACCCCGGCTACCACCAGAGCTGCCTCTCCTCCCAGCTGCCTCCGGGGACTCAGCAGTCCAGCACAGGGTTTGTTTCCAGCCATCAGGCAGGGCAGGCATGCAGGCAGTGGTATTTTTAGCCTCTGTCTCAGCTGTAGTGGTAAAGGTTAATACATCCCCTCCTGTATTTGTTCGAGAGGCTCCAGAGAGAGGGACAGAGCCTATTCCACCTATTTAAATGCAGCAGGAGGACAGAGAAGGTGGCTGTCAAAGTCTGTCCCCTTTCACACCCAGACAGTGCATCAGCTCTGCTCCCAGTGTCGTCATCTGATCACCGCAATTAGTGTTGGAAAGTAGAAGAAATGGTGAATACCTACTGTTGCCAGGTAACAGCATCCACCGTGCTGCCAGCCACTTTCATGAACCTATAGGAAACAGAAGAAACTGTTTAAGCCCAATGTTGTCACACGGGAAGTCCTACAACAACCAATGCCCACCCTACATCACAGGATACCAAAGACGGTCACTGCACTCACAGACCCTTTCTAATGAAATCTTTGCATCCTTAAATGGAAAGAATAAATTATACTTAATACAAATGCTTGTAGCAAGCACAGCTGAGAATAACGGAGTGAAACCCAGCTGGCAGCAGAGCTCTAAGCATCATTTTGGGGCAGATAGGGAGAGCTTTTGGAGCACAACAGCATTTCAGGAACAAGATCTTGGGGTATGTACTTAGTTCTACAACTGCAACAACCTTAGTAGCGATTAAAGAAAAAGTTTTAAATGCCCATCTTAAAAGGAGACATTTCTTCACCCAACATGTATTTAAGCTGAGGAACTCCTTCCCTGGACTCAAGCAAGGACTGGGAAAATGGAAGAAAATGGAAGAAAAAACCAGCAAACCTATTAGATGCAAAGATGCCACTTCCAGCTAGCTCAGGAAGCCCCTGAGCATTGGAGGATGGGAGGAAAGGCTGGACAAATACTGCTACGTGCTTCCCTTTTTTTGATGCTCTTTCTTGGGCATTGGCTGTTAGCAAACTGATGGGATTCCAACCTGGGTGCACTTTTAGTCGGCCCCGTTCCTATTACTAACCACAGCACTTCCATGCACAAGGTTACAGTGAGTTATGTGTATGTATTAGTCTCCTGATGGCTTATGACCCAACTATCTTTAAGACAATACACCTACTCCAGACAGCTCCTATTTGAGTCAGACTTGAGGCTACACAGGTGTATCTGCTGACGCTGCTGATGCCAAAACCAAAGCAACTCCTCATCTTGGGGACTGCGTGTGACCACCGCAGCAGCAGCCTCTGGCACAGGCTTGCTGCCATCCAAGACAGTCCCTCCCTGGCTCCCTGGTCCAGCAATCCAAACTGCACCTTGGAAAACTGCGGCTCCCAGGAGGAAGCCCAAGCGGTAACTCTATTCTTACACTTAGGAGCAGAGATATGAAAACGCACAAAGGCACACACCAACTGGACAGGCACGCTTTTCTGTTCAGCGGTGTAACGTGCGCTGCGTAGCTGATGCATTTTGGAAGCGATAATGCATGCACATGACAGGAGACATGGGCTTGAGCAAGTGAACGTGATGAGAAAGAAACCGATGCTGTATTGTCTCAGGCTGCTCTTTGATGCACAGGGATCCCGGGAACACAACAGGAATCACACAGCTGTCCTGACTCCACCGGAACACAGGGATGAGTGGCGGTGGGTTCTGCAACCCCAAATCCCCGAGGACAGCCCCGTGACTGAGGATGGGGAAGGAAAGGGAAGGTTTGTGAGGAGAGATGAGGCCTTTTATCAGGCCAGTTGTCATGGCAGGGAAGAACAGCAAGCTTTCCAGCACACGAGCCTCTAATCAGGTCTGAAACAAGAGCAGCAAACTTCAGGCTAAATATAGCTCGGAAACAATCATTCTGACTTTAAATTAATGACGATGGTCAATTATAGACTGGGACAAAAGGGCAGCTGGACCCTGTGAAGCATAAGAAGACACTGGCAAAGGCAGTGGTAATAAATCCCCGTGGACAGAGAGGGAAGAGATACAATTAGAAATGGAAAAACAATAACATGCTGTAAAACCCTGTAGCACTGATGCATCCCTGATTCTGCTGCCTAGCAGTGCTGTGAGCTTCGGTTCCCAGGCTCGCCTTTCAGAAATGCTTTTACATCTCTCCTGAGGGTCAGGCCCGGGAGGCCAGTACCAGGGCAGTGGTTTGAGGATGGTTCCTCCCCAGCTGAGCAGGGCAAGGAGACCAGCTGGACCAGCCGTGGTGCAGCCAGAGGGAGAGGTGCAAGCTCCCCGCAACTCATATGGGTCATCTGGCAAAAAGGGGATTTTGCAAATATTGTTCTACAAATCTAAGTGTGTGGAAATATGCCAAAAGGATCAAAAAACCCGACTCCCAGGTTTTAAACGCTCAGTACAGGGACCGCTGCCTAAAATGTAGCGCATGAAGTGTATAAGAGTGAACTAATGAACTCTAAACTGAAATTACGAACACAATCTATATTGGGTTTGAAGATCGATATATTGCAATTGGGTTTGAAGATTAGCCCAGCTTGCTTTCTAACCTCAAATGCTTTATGTTCTGGCTATAAAATAAACCACCCTGGACTTTACTAAATCACCTCTTCAGGCTCAGGTTGGCACTCTCCACTCGCAGTCCAAAACCATGAGCAGACCGAGCTCGGGAGAAGCAGCTCTCTGGTTTTCCTTGCCATTTCCACGGTGCCTACAGCCCTGCTGCAAACACACCCGCTACAGTGGACTTTGAGCATGGACTGAAAAGCAAAGCGAACCCTTGGTATAACCTCAACATCCCTGGAGCAGCAGAAGCAGGACATCTCTCTGTCCCATCTCCCATGTCTCTAGGAAGCTAAATGACCTGTTGTTAAAAAGCTCCTGAGAAAACGTTGTTCTAGGACACAGGCATCACTCAGGCAGCACAGTACAGACCAAAAGCAGGACAGAAAAGGCCCTGGCTTGCTTAGTGTTCCTCTTCTGTCTCTGTAAGAGTGAAATAAATCGGTTAGTTCTGGTCATTTTCAAATTTTACCGTAAAAGATGCATATCTAGCTCAAATTTTGCTTTCCACGTCTGTTTTTCTTTCTTTCTTTTTCCTTTTATTGAGATTTTTGCAGGATGAAGTTCAAAAGCTCTTGGTAAAACTTCAAGTCCTGCCTTAATGTTGGAGTTGTGCCTGAAGCACCCCAGATGACTTGGGCAATGGTCTCTACCCTCCAAAGGGAACCTAGAGCTGTTGGCTCAACAGCCAACAAGTGGTACTGCACATGCAAGAGATGAAAGCCCAGGGCAGGTGGAGATGCAATGATGCACAGGTATCCGAATATCCTCGGCTTAGGAATACAGGTGTTACTAATCCCTTTATTCCTGTAGCACCTGTGCTGCTCAAACCACAGATTTTGAGGCCAGTGAAGATCCATAAGGTCCAAATGACCAGCGCTGGCACATTTTTATCTGGGATTTCCTGGACTGCACGATGTCCATGTGTGCAGCGCAGCACAGGCAGAGCAAACCAGACGCTTCCAGGAGGGCTCAGATCCCTGCACATGTGCTGCACAGATGGGCTGGGCTGGCGCAGTAAATCTGCCATTTTCCTACACATTGGCCTTTCTCTGTGAGCACCAATCGACCGCGCAGCGCATGTGCAGTTAATCCCCTCCCCAGGAGCAGTGGGACAAGCTGAGCCCATGCTGTGCAGGCAATGTGGGCAACTACCGTAGCGATGCCCTGTAACTCAGATGGGTGGCAGCCCCAGGGCATGCCCGTGTGGTATTCCTGGCTGGACTTCCACACATCAGAAACCTGGGCAAACGCAGAAGCCCTCAAAATCTGCTGGGGCAGCATCTCTAGGTGGGAAAACAGAACATGTCAGAGGCCCGTGGAGGAACAGGAGCCTCGGGCAGGGCAGCACCTCACAGGTCAGGAACGAGCTGTGGGAGAGTGGGGCAGGAGGGCTGCAACACCACAAGATGATACTAACACCACAACTCCATATTGTGAAACCACGGCTCAAATCTGACCTTTCCCAGAGCATCTCCCATAGCCACATCTCCCAGAACCGCAACTTTCACTTGAGTGTCCATCTCCTTACCTTTGCAACTGCCTGTGTGCCAGCACCCCATGCCAGCATTACTACTTGTGGGGCCTGTGTTGAGCTAGAACTGAAGCTCAAGCTTGCTTTTAAATAATCACTGAGGAAAATGTAATTTAACATTGATCAGTCACCTAAACAGTTCACAGCTCTGTCCCAGAAACAGTAATACTGGCATAACATGGGACAGCACCTCACAGGTCAGGAACGAGCTGTGGGAGAGTGGGGCAGGAGGGCTGCAACACCACAAGATGATACTAACACCACAACTCCATATTGTGAAACCACGGCTCAAATCTGACCTTTCCCAGAGCATCTCCCATAGCCACATCTCCCAGAACCGCAACTTTCACTTGAGTGCGGGCAGGTCTCTGAAATAGATCTCCTGTCCTGATTCAATACTTGCCAGTCATGGAGCACCTACTGCAACCTTAAGCAAATTGCTCCCATGGTTAATTAGCCTCCAAGTATGTTATTTCTCATCTGAATGTGTCTGGCTTCAGCTTCCAGCCACTGGAACTTCCTAGGCTTATTCCTGATACATTAAAGAGCCATCTGCATTTGGAAATCTCTTTCCCATGCAGGTAATTGCAGATTGTCGTCCTTTAAATAATAAAAAAAAGTGATCCTGTAACAAAGAATGCAGCTGCACAATGAGAGCAGTTACCATTGCACAGACTCCCAGGCGGTTTAGCATCATCGTCTGACTCCTGGGTGCTGGACTTCACAAACGCGGGTTATTTCAGCTGTTGCTCCCTGGAGTACTACAAAAGCAAACTGCCCCCCCCCCCCCCCACCCCCCCACTGTGGGACACAACTCTG